TAATTTTTTGTGAGATGCATCTTTAAATTAGGCGCTCCCCTAAAGACTATTTTTGGTCTCTCTGGTATTAAGTGTTTAAGAATGGCGTCTTCTTTCAGTAAGTTCCAATGTCTATTAATGATCTTTTTAAAGGACCACTCTAGGCACCCAGACCACTTCAGCTTAATGAAGTGGTCTGGGTGCCAGGTCCTTCTAGGGTTAACCCATTTTTTCATAATTATAGCAGTTTCAGAGAAACTGCTATAATTATGAATGGGTTAAGCTTCTATCCTCTAGTGGCTGTCTCATTGACAGCCACTAGGCGCTATGCTTCTCACCGTGATTTTCACAGTGAGACGCAGGCCCATAGAAAGCATTAAAATGCTTTCCTATCGACGAGCTGAATGCGCTGCAGCTCTTGCCGCGAGTGCGCATTCAGCGGGGCGGGCGGATCGGAGGCGAGAGGAGGAAGAGAGCCTCGCCCAGCTGGAAAAAGGTAAGTTATTACCCCTTTCCCCCTTCCAGAGCCGGGCGGGAGGGGGTCCCTGAGGGTGGGGGCACCCTCAGGGTACTATAGTGCCAGGAAAACGAGTATGTTTTCCTGGCACTATAGTGGTCCTTTAAGTTCTTTATTTTTATTATTATAGTCTAATATAACAGGTAATGATATATTTTGTTTTTGAGTTCTCTTCTTAGATAATAGATCTTTCTGGTTGATAGACAAGGCTTGATTAAAAGTAGATTGGATGGTGGGTTTTTTGTACTCTTTTTAAAAAAAACTTTCTTTTACTGTTTCTGCTTGTTGTTTAAAAACTGGAGTTTCTGTGCAGTTTCTTCTTAATCTAAGCATTTGACTTTTTGGAATGCTATCTAGCCATACATTGTTATGGCAACTTTTGGTATCGATGTAATTATTGACATGGACTTCTTTAAAGTGAGTTTTGGTATGAATTATATTATTTTTAATATAAATGTTTAAATCTAAATATGTAATATGTGTGTCACTTATTTCTGAGGTTAAAATTATACCTTCTTGGTTGGTATTTAAGAAGGAGATGAATTCTCTAGCTTCAGTAGAGGTTCCTTTCCATATGAAGAGGAGATCATCTATATATCTTGAGTAGGACACCAGGTTTTTTGCCCAGCCATGCTCACTCCAAATGTATCTGTCTTCCCATTCCACCATATAGAGGTTAGCATAGCTGGGCGCAAACCTGGTGCCCATAGCTGTGCCCGTTTTCTGTAAATAAAAACCGTCTTTAAACCAAAAGTAGTTATTATTGAGGATTAAATCTATTCCTTCAATTAAAAACTCTATTTGATCTTGTGGCATTGTTTTTTCTTTTTCTAAAATAGTTCTTACTGCTATACATCCTTGGTGGTGTTTGATAATAGTATATAAGGACTGAACGTCACAAGTGATGAGTAAGAAATCGTTCTCCCATTGAATACTCTTTAGCTTATTTAATAGATCGATAGAGTCCTTTAGGTATGATTTAGTTCTTACAACATATGGTTGTAATAAAATGTCTATATATTCAGACAAATTTGAGAATAAAGATCCAATCCCGGACACTATCGGTCTGCCAGGGGGATTAGTTAAGCGTTTATGGATCTTGGGGAGGAAATAGATAACCGGAATGCGAGGATGTTGTATGTTAATATATACAAATTCATTTTTATTCAGAATGCCGGATCTCTTTCCTTCCTCTAGATATACTTGAAGCTTTAGTTTCATCTCCGATGTAGGATTATTACTAAGTTTTATATATGTGTTGACATCATTTAGTTGTTTATAAGCTTCATTTTCATATTGATCTTTTGATAATATGACCAAACCTCCTCCCTTGTCGGCAGGTTTGATAACAATAGATTCGTCATTATAAAGATCCTTTAATATTTTCCTTTCATGCTTATTTAAATTAGGTCTATCGGTGTATCTATTCTTGATCTCTAACGTTTTTAGGTCTTTGCAGACTTTCCGTTCAAATATGTCTAGTGCACTTGATTTTAAATGGGCTGGATAAAAAGTAGATTTTTTCTTTAAATTACTCCTTATATAAATCATTATTTATATTTGTATTTATAGTAGTGTGTGTAGCTGTTTGTGTGTTCTGTGTGTCTAGCGTTTTAGAGGCAAAAAATCTTTTTAGGGTGGCATTTTTAAGCCTTTTTTAAGGATATTCATTTGCGATTCGTCTAGATTCTTATTAGAAAGATTAAATATGCCCGTGGGGGAGATATCATTCTTTGTTTTTAGAATCTTCCTTTTTTGCTCTCTTCTCCCTGCTCTTCTACCTCTAGAATTCTTTTTCGGCTCTTTATAGGTGTTATATTTAAGCAATTGGTATTCCTTTCTCGATTGGATGGGATCTCTAAAAAAGAGGTCTCATCCAATTGTTCACAGAAAGACAAAGCATGATATCTGCTTTTGGTGGTTATTTCATTCGGTGAATTGTGTTTATGAGTATCATATTTACTATGTCTATTGTGATTTACCTTTTCCCAAGGATGTTCTCTATCTTTGGGTTTATGTGTTGGGGAACTGGGTATATATGTGTATTTGTGAGTTTTTGGTCTAACTATCATTGGTGATTCATTTTGGTGTCTTTCTTTTCTTTGGTTTCTCATATTCTGCATTCTGTGAGTTGGTTCTTTAATTTTAAATTCTGAAAATTTATGATAGGTCTGCTTTGGTCTATCTTGAAACTCTTCATTAGTGTTACTGTAAATCTTACTTCTATTGGTGGTAGTGAATCAATCAGTGAATTTCCGTGGTGATCTATTCCAATAGTTTTTTCTATATGGTTGTTCAGATCTTTCATTATCATCTCTGCTTTGAAAACGCTTAGGTCTGAGAGTATTATTTTCTGTGTAAGGATTATATAGGTGATTAGTGTTTTTCCATTTTAGCTGTCTTGGTGCTTTTTTTGTATTGTAAGTACGTATTTGGTTATTTGCATAATTGTGCTTGTCTCTGTTATATGTATTTCTTTTAATTATTTTGATGTCTGTTTCTGTTTTTTCTACTATTTTTTTGATATTTTGCGTTTGATTAAAATATTCCTCTGTATCAGCAAATGGGATTAGTTGATCCCTTAGGCTATTGATCTTTTTGTCTAGATTAAGAAGTCTTTCACTTTTAACCTTAATCAGGCTTCCCATAAGGCCGATTGTACAGAGCTCTAAGTGGTTATACCACTCTTCCATAAAGCTTCTGTTGTCTGTATCTGATGTCGGCATTTTGAAGAGTCTGAGGCCTCTTGGAGTGATTTTGTCTTCAACATATTTACTAAGGGTCGCAATTTCCCATCTTAGCTTCATTTCCTTAATTAGAGAAAATTCTAATTCTTTCAATAATTCTTTGGGATCATCAAATGTGATTAATGGTTCGTTGTTGTCTATTATATCTAGATCATCGATATCATTAAAGATGTCATTTAGGTCAATATTATAATTGTCCCGATATTCAAATAAAGTCATGTTTGTTTGTTAAATTTTGTGGGGCACCTCAACTGGGAAGTAGTATAGCAGAAGAAAAGGGGGGATGTGTCAGGTGCTCACTCCAAAACAGAAAGTCAATAGGCAGCAGTAACCAGTGCAAGGATTCCCAGCCTTGTAAAGAAACAGTATAGAAGAAGAGGGAGGAAACCGCGCCTTACATAAGCTATATATACATACACTTGATGTTTCTTAGTTGTTGTGGATAATTTATCCTCAAAAAGAGAACACAAAGAGAAAATATACAATAGTGTAGTATGTTTATCAATATTAAAAAATGGTGATAAAGAAAACGGAGGTATTTTGAACTCACATTTGGTAGAGCTATTATGGGAGCTTTACCGTAATTTGCATGGACGGTACAATCCCGTGTTAGGATTAGAGGTCCAACGTCTTTGGCACTCTGATGGTATGGTGGTGCAGATAAAAATGGAAAAGAAGAAACTCCAATGGTATAGTAGTTCCAAATCCAAGTATACATTTATAAATGAAAGTAATTATACTCACATTTGCTAGAGCAGACAACTTGCTCTAGTATATAGGGCTTGCAGTGGTATAATCCCCACTGTAGGATATGTAGGCCAGGAAGTTGATGATGAAAATAATCTGGGCCTTAACGCAGACAAATACTCAGGACACTCCTTTCGTATAGGAGCCGCGTTCACAGCCTCCAGTGTCAACATCCCAACTCATGTTATCAAAACACTGGGGCGCTGGAAGTCATCCGCTTACTCACGGTACATACCTAACCCAGTACAAGAATTAAGGGATGCTTTCAAAAACATGTCTGGTTGATAAAATGTATATGTATTGGTTGTCTGTTAATAAATTTGATTACTTAATTCTTGCCCTCTTCTTTCTCAGGCCTACCTCATCGTCGGTTTCGGTACACCACAACCGACTTGCTCCTTTTATTATCCTACGTTTATTCATGGTATTTCACACTGTACTATCTTAAGCACCTAACACAAGTATTAAGGCAATTTGCCTGGATTTGTGTGAGGTGCTGGTTTGCTACCCCTAGCCTACTTAAGGCACTCCC